CGACAAATAGCTAGTCACAGTCATGAACACAGCCACAGGACAATGAAATCACAAGGAAATTCAAGGGGCAAGTATTGTCTGTACCTAATGATAAGCGAGAGGAAGCAAATTAAATTTCCTTTCCTTGACTAATATGATAGTGATGAAAGTGATATGATAAAATGCTATTTCGGTAATTCCACTTATTTGGGACTATGGGATCAGACAAAGTATTAAATGTGCTTTATTTTCGTGGTACGCAACTCCAGATACCACGATGTCTATAGGGAAGAAAGTTTATACATAATCATGAATTATACGTGATTATTCCACTCACTCACCCCACAGCGACTGCTTACTTGATGATTGTATTACATGCTTTATGTGGTAATGATTTATATCAAAATATCCTTTGGAGCGATGACTGTTTTATTACTTAAAAACAGAAACGGTTGATGCTACTTGATACAAGATATTTATAAACGCAATTACATCTCATATTTCATGGCCATGTATGACCAGTACGATGGTTTATATTTTATCACAATGACACGGTGTATTCTTGTCATCAGGGCAAATGCTAGAAGACAACGACGCCTGTTGGTTTATCTTAACAACATTTATTACAGATAATCAGCAAACTGCCTATTGTGCAGTGTGATTTGCCACTGTGATGGCCGACACATCACTGTATTGTGTATGGACACTATAAGTATGCCAGACACATTTTATTTTGACTCATAGTCAATGTCGATAAGCATACGTTTTAAACAAAAAACCACGTATATGTATCTGAGTCCGAGTGATCTGGATGGGTTATAGTTACAACACCCTTTCACCAGAAGTTCAGTTGTCCCAACATGTCAGCCTGACAGGAAAGGAAACACTAGAGTGATGCAGGTCTCGGAAGTTAGTTAAACCAATAACAAATATCGTGCTGAATACCCCAGAAACATAATCAGGCCGAAGCTCGAATTCAAACCCGTGACCACAGGATTCTGTCGGGCCAAAGGAAAACAAATCTACACATTGAATTACGGTGTCTGAACGACTGGGTCACCCATGCCTAAAAGACAAGTAAATGGGAATCATAATTATTTTGTAAAGAAAAGCTTCAAAACACTTTCCACAATCAAACGAATATCCATTCTACGATTCCGACTACATCATCAGCATGTGTTTATCAATCACTATTAAATAGTGAGGATATCAGGTCTTCGTGAAAAGTAAGCGTATCCTACCCCACCGGTGGCACCCGTTACAAACACACACACAGGAACAGTAAACCTTCAGGATGCAGCTATATTTAAGCATGAATGTCAGGCCGAATACCATGTCAATGTCATAGTGACACCATAGTCACACCACTATGAACATATATGTATTTACATAATTAATGTATCTGTCATATAAGAAGGCAGCACATAGAGTGAGCCGGTTTTAGCATGCTAGCAATATTAGGGCGGGGGACATCAGAAATGGGTTCACACTTTGCACAGTGTGGAGATTCAAACCCGGAGAACACTTCAACCATTACGTTACCCCACCACTCTCACTTAATAGGTTATCACCGCAATGAGCATCATATTATGTCCGATGGTAAATATAGTCATAGTCAGCTGTGAAGCTCTTATTTCCCTGGAGGAGCAACATCTATCATGCCTCTAAATAACATCCTCATAAGAAATTAAAACTAAGCAGTTAAACAGTGCCTACCCTGAATATTCGAGAGAAACAGTGTACCGTGTCTGAGGCACCCGACTCCACTCCGTCGTCAACCGCAACGTGTTACGGTGCATCAACAATAGGCTGGAAGGTTATTGTAAAAAATGTAAAACAACTTCCCGATGTTCATATAGATTTGTAAGATTTAATTGCAATTATTTAAAAAAGTACGACGTTTTTAGTTTGCTAGGACAATCATGATAGCATGGATTTTCAAAGGTTAAAGAATTTGCACCCAGTGGGAACCTTCTGTTCAAAGATGACGCGAGTTGAAACCTTACATCATAATACCCCGGAATGTGTTTCCTCTGGTGATACAGAAACTTCAAGAATGTCCAATTATCGCAATCGCCAAAGGAAACGTTTGTTAAATTGAGTTGGCAAAATGAATTTGAATGGGAATAATTACAAGGCGGGCTGAAAATGATTTTCGTAGTTTCATTTAAGGACTTCGTCCCCGTCTGAATCTTGTCTGGCAAGCTTGCCCCGTGGGCTAAACGTATTTGTAAAGTACATGTACCACGGTTAGAAAATCTATTTCCACGACTTATCGAAGTAGGAAACGCCAAAATATTGATTGTTACCAAAGAATCGATATATCCTCTTTTCAGAATGCCATGTCGGTAAGCTATAGAGTCATTTTTATTGGAATATCATGTGTTTTTCGCAATCTATGTATAATCAAAAATAGTTGGAGAGCAAGAAAGCTACGCAGTCCTTATTTAAGTGAGTTCTAATATCTGTATATGTCCAGGGTATTTGGAAAAAGGAACATCAATGACATAGACTGGTTAGCATCAATAATCGTTTCCTGTCACAAGTACCCGTTCATTGCAGCAAAGCTCCAAAATCGACATTCTTTCTCATTTAATGTGTGCTATGCAAAACCACATGCATTTGCTGGTGTTTTCTAATCATGTGGCCTTTGACTCTTCGATGGATATATTAATTTTGTCCATGGACATTTCATTGGTTATTTCTATTCGTATGTATGTGTGGCTGTCGAACATGACATGTTTTGTGGTACAACCTTTTTTGATGACGCCACTACTGGAGCAGGATACCTTCACATTTCCGAGAACAACTGGTGACAGTGATTCATAAACATAATCGAAATAATATGTTTAAAATATATCTGATAATTAGGACTTGGCCTCGTACATGATACGTGTGTACATATTGCATGTATTTCATATACATGCGCCTACTTGAAACAAATCTAATCGATCCAAATAATTATTAAAATATCTGTTCCCATCGGTTTTTGCAGGTCGCGTGAACTTGGAGTGAATGTTCATGAACTTCACAGTCTGCAATTGTCCAGCTGTATTATTTCGGAGAAACTGATTTATTTAAGTAGTCACTCATGAAAGGTACATAGGCTCCTTGGGACCTGTTGTACCCCGAAAGTTCACACGGGTCACAGGGTATCACACGGTATATATATATTACTTTCACTTCTAAACAGGAAACAAATGCAAATATATTTTATTATAACATTTGAAGCCTTTATACTTTGTGAATTGTTGTCTGAACAACTTTGTATAGTTTGTAAAGTACCTTCGATTCTAAAACATTTCTTTTTTTAATACACATGTATACAAGTAAATAGATATGAAAACAACAAATATAGATTGATACATACAATAGATGGTCGAGTGTTTGTATCAAAAGCCTGTTAGCTAAGTACTTATTAACGTATTATCTGTTGCTCATTGCCCATCTACAAACGTGTGATGACAGACAAAGGGCAATCATATTTTGTGGATTCTTAAACACGTTTGAGTTAAAGTAGTTTCTATTATCATCCTCAGAATTTGATTATTATAATTAAATCTGCAGCTTCAGACGTGAAATAAACGAAGCTCAGAATAAACGACGCATGTGCCTCCTGCTTAAACACCTGCTAATTTCTCTCAACTGCTTGCTGATCAAGGTTTTGCTTGGTATGTGTCTGAAAGATGTCTACAACATTACACCGACTATGACAGGTTGTAACTTGTGTCAATCAACAAGGGGTAAAATGGATCATATATGATCATATGAACCAGGTGACCAAGAATGTAAAACAACTGTGTTATGAAACGTCCAACTGTGTTACTCTAGGTCTGCTGTGCATGTTATGAGTGTGTGAAAGAGTATGGTTTTACGCTGCTTTTAGCAATATTCAAGCAATATCACGGCGGGGTTCATGTTATGAAACGCTGAACTGTATTTCACTTGACCTGTTGTTCATGTTATGATACGCCTAACTGTGTTACTCTAGGTCTGTTGCTCATGTCATGAAACGTCCAGTTGTATTTTACTCAATCTCCTGTTCATGTTATGAAACGTCCAACTGTATTACTTTGGATTAATAAACGTTTTCATAAGATTGCATTTTGCAAAATCTTTAAGCATTTTTGAACAGGGTTCAAATAAGTTCATAAACAATATACATATTCTTTACAATTAAAACCCCAGATTCCTACTTTTTCTAACAATTAAAGAGTTAAACAATATTCATATAAAACCACTGTACAATTGAATGAGTGTACATTTTTAACAATGCTTGCAAATATTATTGTATGTATATGTTAAGAAAGTCTTACGATGTACAGGCATATCGGCGGACAGGGATTTTACGACAAGCACTGGAGTAATCGGAAGATTGTGTTCTACCCGTTATGAAAAAGGGTTGTTTAGTACGTTTGGGGTATCACGAATACCTGGTGTATTGTCAAGGTATGACCCGAAGCGTATACACCAACATCTGTCAACCCAAGAAAAGAAAGGAAACTTGCCACCACACAGTCAATTCTGATATTGAATGCGTACAGCGTGCCTAGATCCTGATGTCAAGTTCAAAGAAAAACATATATTTAATGTATGGGCTTCCTGGTGTTTCAATTTAAAAACACGCGATATCAATCAGTTTCTGATCGGCTACCTGGATACATGTGTGAGCTGCAACCTATATAGCTGTCACATGTGCAGTGTCGTGCTATGTCGAATATTAACAGCAGAACATTTTCGTAATTGACCAAGATCGTGTCTAAATCATTATAAGTCTACACTCTAGGAGTTCATTTGTGTTCATTATGCATACCAATTAAACAGACATCGATTACGACAAATCGAAAAATTACAATTATCCTATTTTCAGACTGTTTATGTTATATGTATGATTGTCGTGATAGCTCAACTACCGTGACAAGTTAAAGACCTGTGGAAGTCCTGAAACCATTTGGTAGTAAGTAAGGAATAGGAATTATTTCATCCACTGCCCGTTGGATGATTGAGTCGACTCTAGAATCCTAAACGTCACTTGAGTCCACCGAGTCCCTACAGTCACCATGGTCTTTAGGGTCTCCATAATCGTCAAAGTCACCATAGTCTTTAGGGGCCTCAGAGTCCTCAGAGTCACCATGGTCTTTAGGCTCTCCAGAGTCCTCAATGTCACCATAGTCTTTAGGGTCTCCAAAGTCCTCAAAGTCACCATAGTCTTTAGGGGCCCCAGAGTCCTCAGAGTCACCATGGTCTTTAGGGTCTCTAGAGTCCTTAAAGTCACCATAGTCTTTAGGGTCCCCTGAGTCCCCAATGTCACCATAGTCTTTAGGGTCCTCTGAGTCCCCAATGTCACCATAGTCTTTAGGGTCCCCTGAGTCCCCAATGTCACCATAGCCTTTAGGGTCCCCTGAGTCCCCAATGTCACCATGGTCTTTAGGGTCCCCAGAGTCCTCAAAGTCACCATGGTCTTTAGGGGCTCCAAAGTCCTCAATGTCACCATAGTCTTTAGGGGCCCCAGAGTCCCCAAAGTCACCATAGTCTTTAGGGTCTCCAGAGTCCTCAGAGTAACCCTGGTCTTTAGGGTCTCTAGAGTCCTCAATGTCACCATAGTCTTTAGGGTCTCAAGAGTCCTCAAAGTCACCATAGTCTTTAGGGTCCCCTGAGTCCCCAATGTCACCATAGTCTTTAGGGTCCCCAGAGTCCCCAATGTCACCATAGTCTTTAGGGTCCCCAGAGTCCTCAAAGTCACCATAGTCTTTAGGGTCCCCAGAGTCCTCAAAGTCACCATAGTCTTTAGTGTCCCCAGAGTCCCCAATGTCACCATAGTCTTTAGGGGCCCCAGAGTCGTCACAGTCACCATAGTCTTTAGGGTCTCCAGAGTCCTCAAAGTCACCATAGTCTTTAGGGTCCCCTGAGTCCCCAATGTCACCATGGTCTTTAGGGTCCCCAGAGTCCTCAATTTCACCATAGTCTTTAGGGTCCCTATAGTCTTCAAAGTCACCATAGTCTTTAGGGTCCCAAGAGTCCTCAATTTCACCATAGTCTTTAGGGTCCCTAGAGTCTTCAAAGTCACTATAGTCTTTAGGGTCCCCAGAGTCCTCAAAGTCACCATAGTCTTTAGGGTCCCTAGAGTCTTCAAAGTCACCATAGTCTTTAGGGTCCCCAGAGTCCTCAATTTCACCATAGTCTTTAGGGGCCCTAGAGTCTTCAAAGTCACCATAGTCTTTAGGGTCCCTAGAGTCTTCAAAGTCACCATAGTCTTTAGGGTCTCCAGAGTCCTCAATTTCACCATAGTCTTTAGGGTCCCTAGAGTCTTCAAAGTCACCATAGTCTTTAGGGTCCCCAGAGTCCTCAAAGTCACCATAGTCTTTAGGGTCCCCAGAGTCCTCAAAGTCACCATAGTCTTTAGGGTCCCCAGAGTCCCCAATGTCACCATAGTATTTAGGGGCCCAAGAGTCGTCACAGTCACCATAGACTTTAGGGGCCCAAGAGTCCTCAAAGTCACCATAGTCTTTAGGGTCCCCAGAGTCCTCAAAGTCACCATAGTCTTTAGGGTCCCCAGAGCCCTCAATGTCACCATAGTCTTTAGGGGCCCCAGAGTCGTCACAGTCACCTTAGACTTTAGGGGCCCCAGAGTCCTCAAAGTCACCAGGGTCCTTAAAATGCGGGTCCGTAGATTCTCTAGAGTCCTTGGAGTTACCAGACTCCTTTGAGTCTCTAATGTCTTTAGAGCTCATAGAATCATAGTCCCAAGAGTTCCTAGCACAAACCACCTTAACTCCCAGCGTCGTCCCTAGAATCCCTGAATTCCAAAACCTCCAAGAATTACGATATTATTAATATTTTCAAATTGAAAAGACAAGAGGATGCGGCACTGTCACACTGCATGAACACTAATTATTACGTAACAAAATATATATTTGAAGAAAATATGGATGTTTGGAATAAAATTGACAGCGAATCAGCGCGCTAGAAAATATGATAATTCACTTCTTCTATTCCATTGAACATGCAGGGCCTAAAATATTTAATCAATATGTACGAGATCAATGTGAAATCACATTCTTTTGTGAAAACTCTTTCTTTTGGGTATCGTCGTTTCTATGTGACGTCAGAGTTCGAATGTTTCGCTATGTTTGACGTCACTTTCAACAAATGTCATTATTCCAGCAATATTACGACAGGGGATATCAGAACTGGGCTTCGCTCAGGTCACGAACGTGAGAAGCCGAACCCGGGGCTTCGGCTTGACAAGCGAACACTCCACCGCCCCTATTGCCATGACGTCACAGACATGGAACGTTCAGGTCTTGCACTCTGTCAAATAAATAAAACGTCACTGCCAGAGCAAATTCAGTCTCTGACATCCGCAAAAACTGATTTCGTTTAGCGTAAAAGGCAAAATAGCGGTGCCCAAACACTTCAGTCTCATTGTTTGTTGGTGTTAAAAAAATGATCATGTATGTTGAAGGAAAACTAAAATTGTATGATCACTTAAGGTGATGTCGTATGTTGATTTGGCCAGTCGGAGATGAGGAAAGCAACCAGGTAAGCAATCAGGCAAGCAATCAGACACGTAGACACAGCGGGCGTAAAACAACCAATTAAACTTTTGGGCCCGCTATCAACCACCCGGTCCCAATCTTTCTCACCCAATGGGGATTCGGAGTTAGAATTGGCCCCAAGCACGTTATGAATGTTTGTTGTAATTGATAGATAGGTGGTCAGGCTTGGTGACTGTATGTCATCGCTCTGGATGATTGGTCAAAGAAATGAATCCTCTTTATTCGGCTGTTACGACAAACATGATGCACTGGGGACTACATTAACATGCAATCCTCTCTGGGGACATATATTATTAAGTTTAGTATACATTTTTGATGTCTTTCTTGGTTTATCTGAAATTGAACGTGACATTACGCAGTACATACGTAGGTGAATCAAATTATGCTTTTCTTCTCTTTGTAAATAACAAAATATATCATTCATTCGCTCATGGCTCTCACAATGTATTACAACTGAAATCCTCTGGGATTCGAAACCGAATGCTAAAAAGGCAATTAGCTACTTGTCTATAATTGTTTGATAGGCATTTCTTAGAAGTTGACGGATGACAAAGTAGACACAATTTATGGATAACAAGTTCTATATTTTACTGTAATGGCGACGCTTCGGTATGAGGATCTTTACCGAAACGTCACCTTTACAGTCAAATAAAGAACTTGTTATCCATAAATGATGCCTACCTTGGTATATACTCGTATATACCTGCACGAAACTTTGAATGATGCGCGGTTATCATAATTAAACAATCTAACCATTTTGATACTTTACTGTCAAACACCCACTCTACTCAGTAATAAACAGTTGTCAATGAACTGTCAATCAAATACTGAACCACACATGTACACAATCCCCACATGCTCCACATGTCGATTGAACGACATATTTGTCAATCAGAATAGCCACTCTGATGATGAAATTGACAATATATCATCACAACTTGAAACCTTCCTGGTACAACAAAACAGAACGATATTGTACGCGAAAATATATACACGTAGAAATACGAGTGAGAATGAGACTGGAGTGAGATTCAGGTACCGTCACGTTGCGTGTCGTCGATCATTGCTTATGCATCTAGTCACTAGTTCGCCAGGTCGACATTCGATTAATTATAAGCTTGTGTTAAGCCGCTATGATATACATGAAATATTGCTGACATTGGCATTAAAGAACAATGTCATACACTCTCATTCTCACGCGTATTAGTACGTGTGTGTAGCGGATGCGCGTGTAGCTCTGCCAACACTCTTCTTTTCCAGCTTTTTGTTCTTTTTTATAAGCGACTTCATCGTCAAACTTTGAAATACACCAGACCGGTTCTAGACCTACGGTGAAAGAGGGCAATTGACAACCAATTTCCAGACAACAAACCGCTTAGTTGTTGTTGTCAGAAGGTCAGATAAAAAACGAGTTATTCGCTTTGAACGCTATTCATGTTTGTAGCAAATGCTGTTTTAACTTACAGATACATCGTAAGTATATTAACCTCTAAAGTACATTCCGCCTTTTTGACGGTAGTATTAATCCAATTCTGATATATTGAGGAAGAACATTTATTTCACGGCGTGATGCATGTCGAAGACGACTTGTGAAACGAACGAGCACGGTTTTGAGCTGACATACCCAGGATCATTCTCAGGGAAAATAAGGGACGTGAACCACGTCAGCGGATCCTACTTACGGTGGCCTCAAACTTTTGAGGTTTGCCGATTCACTATTACAACGTTAACAAAAGTGTGTGTGTGTGTGTGTGTGTGTGTGTGTGTGTGTGTGTGTGTGTGTGTGTGTGTGTGTGTGTGTGTGTGTGTGTGTGTGTGTGTGTGTGTGTGTGTGTGAACATCTCGAAAACAGCTAGAAAACTAATTCATGGAGAAATACACTCCTAAAAAAGAAAAGCGAAAGTGATTTTAGATGTATAATTTATATATCATATAAATAATCAACATATGGTTAATCGATTGTTCAGCACAAATCGTTATCATTGACTCAGGTTCAGTATGGCACACATAGAACAGTACATTTTAAAAATGAAGGTAATCTATTCTTAGCCACCATAAGAGTCCTGCACTGACTGGCATCGTCATCCCATGGAAGCAATCAGATCCCGAATTGTGCCCTGGGGATAGTTCACCCATTCAGTCTGCATTGCTTGCGCCACCTGTCGGAGGTTCTGTGGTTGTTGCTGACGTACTCGCAGTCGTTGATCCAGAGCATCCCATAAATGTTCGATTCGGGGACCTGAATAGCCACGGCAAGACCTGAATGTTGTGATTCCTGACAAAGGTTGTTGTCTGTTGCCATATAAGGTGAGGCGTTGTCTTGATGGAAAATTGCGTTTACTTAGCTTGATGCACAATGGAGCATGTAGCCGATGAATATCATCCGTGTATCGTTGTGACGTTAAATTCCCCAGAGCTTGTACCAAGTCTGTTCTATCAGTGTAGGAGATGGCTGCCAACATCATCACACTACCATCACAAAATCTGTCCTCTTCCTTTATGCCGTTTCGTACGTAACGTTCCCCGTGATACCTTCAGCATAAAATGAAACTTGTCACTAAACCAAAGTTGTCTCCATCGCAGTTGTGGCACAATTGACACAACTGACGCCGCAACCGACGATGCAGGTCCGTCAAAATGACACCTCGAACTGGTCGTCCAGCGCGTAAATGGTTCCTCACTGTCTGAGCTGATATAGTCTTGTATAAACTTAGTTGTAGAGGTGGCCGTGGTGGTTCTTTCACGTGAGTGACGTGGCCGTGTGAATATGTCCTGTGCTGCAGCAGTGATCCGTGGTCGACCGCATCTGGAAAGATCCCGTGTTGTCCCGCGTGTCTGACAACGATTCTACAGCCTTGTAATGACACTTGGTGCAACGTGGAAAAAACCTGGCTACAGCTTGCCAATGGGCACCCGTCAGTCGTGTTTTCGCTGTTCACTTGCTGTAAGATTGTAAAGGTATGCAAATGAAACCCGAAAGGGTTTATAGCCCAACAAGTGATGTTGCACGTGCATGTCATGTTGATGTTTTTCGGCGCCATGCTTCCACATGCTTGTGTTTTTGCCACATTTCCACATAATGTCTGCAGTGCTTCACTCTTTCCACACAAATCAATCCCAATCAATGCAGAAATGACCAATTCATTTTTGGTATTACGTTTTGCGTTTCTTTATTTGCAGAGTATAGCATCGGTTTCGATACTCGTCTACATGTAACTAAAGTGTTTTCGAACTCGAAGTTGACTTGCAAATGGTTGAAAAACACATATAGTTACTTACAACCAACCAGATACTGCGTAGACATCAAATGCTTATATTTTCCCTTTTCACGAACACCTGGTGTCATCACTGATTTCCGTCGAAACAGTCATATAATTACTATGTTGCCTGTTGCGCCCAATAGAATCTCGTTGGACAGAAATCGGGACTGATTATTCTCGGGCGTTCATTTTTCAATTAACTACAAAACGGCGTCGAAATTTGAGCGACGTTATCTAAATAAGAGCGTGTCTTGTGAAAACAGAAGCTGGAAAACCTTCAGAGGCAACGCACGGTGCCGTCCTAAAACGAAACTTTGCACAGCGACATGAAGCGCTTTAAACCATTGAGCTTCATTAACATGTATCAGTACCACGGAACTTATAGTTGCTAGATTGCATGTAACTCAAATGCAATATGATAAATTGCGTTACAGATAAATCAGGGGTTTATGAATGTATATATTATATCATTAACACATTACCTTAAATTAAAAAGGTTTCGGCTGCCGTGGGATTTCCGGGAGAAACTCGTCCCTCAGTCGCCTATTCTTGTGTTAAGCATCAGGTGGTGAGTCTCGACAGCAGGAAACGTTGCTCATAAAATCAGTCACTGGTTTGTCTGGTGCAGACTCGATTATTAAAAGACCGTCAGTATAGAACTACATGTTTTTGGCTTAAGGTAACTCTTTTTTATTGTGTACGGGTAACCGATTTGACTGAATCTCAATTGCATTTGAGTACATAGTAGGTATCAGTGAGTGATTATGGCTTAACGCTTCTTTTTTGCAAATTAGCAATATGGCTGCAATATTAAATTTTAACACACTCACGCACTCGTTTTTGCAATATTCCATCAATATCACGTCGTGAACACCATAAGAAGGATTCACTTATTGTACCCATTCGGGAATCGAACCCGGGTCTTCGTCAGGACGAGGGAAAGCTTTAACCAATAGGCTACTCCACCGCCCATTACAAACTGCGGGGCAAAAAATGTGTAGCCTTGCAAACTGGATTTGACCAAAAAATTACAAACGCTATCAAAACGTTACTTGGCTGAAAACAGTCACCGAAACACTGCAAACCTGTGGTCCAAAACACAACTCTGTCACCCGTATCACATACATCACCATCCACCAGCCATCTTTGTATGTTTCGTTTCAGCAAACCATCAAATAAGGGGTTACACTTTCTTCTGCCCGGCAGCCTTTCTCTTACATTGGCGTTACGAATGATGAGGAGCACAGTCTGAGGCCGGCTGGTCTGCATCCCTTGGTATTCCTAGCCTCATAAACACGTTGATTGGAATAATCTGAAAGAGAAGCTTGACCAAACGACTTTACTACAACCGAAGGCCGGCTGATAGTGTCAGGTGAATGACACAAAGACCCCGACATGATTGTGCACCAACAGTGACAGTGTAACTGTCTATAGGTTCATTGATGATAGGTCTGATAACTTGGAAACGTATCCGCGGATACAGAAGGTGCCTCTGAATACGACGCGATTACTCGCCAGTGTCAGTGGACTGATCTAACATCGACAACGGAATTACGACTACCGTCTAATTGAACTGGTCTTTGACGCTTCTGTATTGATAGGAATGACATCTGCTCGTTACCTCAAAGTACTGGCGAACATCGCGAATACTTTGAATAAACCGCGGTTTGAGGCCAGCTGGTGTCCAGGTCGAGACAAACGGGTGTCAAGTTCAAGACATCCAGGTGTCCAGTGCAAGTCAACCGTGTTTACAGTTCGAGACAAACGGGTGTCCAGTTCGAGACGAGCAGGTGTCCAGCTCGAGACAAACGAGTTTCGGTAGGCTCTTTCGTCGAGGAAGAGACACAGGTGGCCCAGCAGTCAAAGGCACGGTTCGTGTTTCATCCCTTAGCCGTACAAGTGATGCTGATAATCGGTTCACGAATCGAATCACGTCTTCGCCTTGATTATGATCCATGCTATCTCTATATCATACCCGCGAATGTGGGCATCACCAACCTGATAACGTCAACGACCTAAATGCTGTTGGGTTTCCTCCAACATTTACACGCAGTATACTGAAAGCTGTTGGTTTTCCTCCAACATTTACACGCAGTATACTGAATGTTGTTGGTTTTCTCCACCATTTACACGCAGTATACTGAATGCTGTTGGTTTTTCTCCAACATTGACACGCAGTATACTGAATGCTGTTGGTTTTCCTCCAACATTTACACGCAGTATACTGAATGCTGTTGGTTTTCCTCCAACATTGACACGCAGTATACTGAATGCTGTTGGTTTTCCTCCAACATTTACACGCAGTATACTGAATGTTGTTGGTTTTCATCCAACATTTACACGCAGTATACTGAATGTTGTTGGGTTTCCTCCAACATTTACACACAGTAACCTGAAAGCTGTTGGTTTTCTCCCAACATTTACACGCAGTATATTGAACGCTGTTCAAAGTGGCATTCATCTCACTCGCCCACACACTCCCTCAAATCGGTGCCCCCACACACGTGCACACCGGCGACGTTATTCAGAAACATTTCCTTTTCGTGTTGACAGACCAATGATCATAGTCCATGGCTAATCAGGGATTCGAACCATCTGATCCAGGAACGCATAAGCACGGCGCATTAGATTTCGACCACTTGGCGCTCTGTCTTTTTTTCTGGAATTGCACTCCGATCTGGATTGATCGACTGTACCCAAACGGAAATGTCTAATTGGACCTCACACATAAGCAATCACAATAATTTGCCTCTCCCAACATAAATCGACAGTAGTCATCTCATACACGCATATGTTTTATAACGTAGCTTACATGTGGTAGCCATGACTTCCGAAATGCGTAATTAGCGCGCTACAAGTCACACATCAAATTAGAGAGAGCATTAACTAATTCCTACTGACCAAGTCACTGGTCACCTCACACACAAATACTGACATGTGGTGATGAAATGATTGAACACTCCCGATAAGGTTTTCCGCGTTAATCACTATTACCGTCATAGCTCGTCGCGCACTTGCTGCAAGTAGATACGACCTGTTTAAGGATTTAGACATGTATCTCATTACAATCAGTCTGTATGTCAAGTGTACGAGTGCTTTTAGTAACACCACCGCATAGACACCTTGAACAGGCTTCGTGTCAAGAGCCAAACCCTCAGTGAGCGACAAGTTCCCTCTTGTAATTTACATCATCGTCAACCATAGCTGAGTACGATAGTATCAATATTCTAACATTAACCATCCGCTAAATCTTTTCGATTACGTGTAATGGTTGCACATCGATTGCGTTAGGCCACACCAGCAGATAGACCGCTTTTGTAGTCACTTAGAAAATCGGCCCTCAGAAAATAAATCTCCTATCGAAATGTTTTATCGATTGGTTTAGCCTGTCTCGTCACGGTGGCTTCTCTGGCCAATCTGCGCCTGTGTGAGGAGTTGCCACTGGATGTAACGATCTCGCCAAGTCTCTATAAATGCAAGCTGTTTTATCGGAGTCTAGCGACTAGATATGCTGGATTAATACAGATCTCCGCTTCATATACGTATAGTCGAGGATGTCAGGGCAGTTCAGATATGGATTTAGGCTTGAGATACTGTGACAGAGTTTTCGAGAGGAGGTATTTCAGTCTGTACCTGTGATAGACAGAGGATTTGCTATGGAAAACTTACACTTGTGACTGAGCAAGTGGTGGGGGAATTAGTTCTGGTTGAGTTTTTTACTTGCAATTCCTATTGGGACAATAATATGAAATGGAATTTCACGTATGGATTCTCGTTTTCATCACGTGCTTGGAATTAACTAGCGGTGAGTACTTGTTACATACCTATAAACTCCACAAGGCGAACATATGATTAGATCTAGGGAGTGGAAAACCCTCCAACATATTTCTACTTCGTTTAACCTTTCAGCTTCTTCTTACTACAGGCTATACACACTGCAGACCAATTCTGGAAGATAACGTGAGGGTGAATTGTAGTTATCAATTATTCATTCGAAGGAAATAGCGCTTATAAAGAAGGACATAAAAAATAGAAAAAAATGAAAATTGCAGGTATTGTTATTTTGATGTGATGCAACACATTGCGTATTTCACAATATTGACGGGTTTGTTTTCTTTTATATTACACTTCACAAAACACGTTTCACAGTTCAGATTGTATTTTGAAACCTTTTGAGCTGCATGTCGGGTCGAACTTAATCACTTTTATACTGTAACTTAATTAGATATATATAATTCACTTCCTAGACTACGCCCGTTACCAGTACGGATGCAGTTTGTATACATGTTTAATGTTCCATTACTTTATAACCAAACTGCTTTGTCAAATGCTTTCTGTTTTCGTTAAATATATTCCAGGCATTAAAAGTAATTAATACTAACCACTAACCCATTTGAACTACGGTTATATATGTTATTATTTGTTGCTTCAATTTTGACCATACGTTTTATATTTTCAAAACACCCTTATGATTTAAACTGACAGCTCAATGCATTCTGAACTCTTCTAATAAACTACAAACGAAATGCTGAAATTGTTGAATAGTTAAAAATGTACCTTTAAGTATATGTATTCTAGCGGAGCGAAATCAACCCACAGAGACGTTAGAAATCGAGTACTATTGATTCGTGCTATTTCATACATACTATTTTTAAAGTTTTTAATATTAACATTTTAACAACAATTTACAACCATTTATCAGTTGCACACGTAGGCATTTCGCCCTTTTAGTGAAGAGGTTGGATAAACTATATGTGGCATCATATGCATTCATCAGTGACCACATGATTGCAAGTATAACATGTATTGTTACTTAACAGCCTGTACAAGAACGTCAGCCTTTGAGCTTTGTCAATGATTCCTAATTCGGTGCATTGGCTATGCCATTGTTGGGCAATATATCATTATCCTGTTGTAGATAGCGAATCGATACTTGCATTATAGCAGGCATTTTTTATGCGTTGAATGCACTTACATGCACAAAGAAGATATAATGATTGGATACATCGGCTAACAGCAGGCCCCCACGCCACGATCAGACTTCAGCATGTGAGTCGTGGTATATTGGACTTGAAGTATTAGCTCGCTGTAATACATTTCTTTCAAGGTCTTTGATTTTAACTCTTTCCAGTTCAGACAATTGTTAAACAACAGTGGTGCAGACCTTTTGTATATGATATTATGAATGACTTTTAGTGTTTTTTTGTGAAGAGTGGAGTATTTATAATTTATGCATACACTCGATATATCCGTAGGGTCATGACTTCGTGTAGCCCCATTGTTGAAAGAGAAGCTGTTAAACGCGGACATCTTTCAAAAATAAATTTCATCTGACTCATTATTAACTGTCGCTAGCATGGTTACTCCACAGACACTACCGTCACAGCAAAAATCCAAGTTCTGTTCCCACGTGAATAGAATGCGAAGTCAGTGTCCGGTGTTATGCTAAGCTGGAATATCGCTCATAGCGGCGTAAAATCCAACTCACTCACTTACAACTAAAACTATATCATGTCATTAGTATATGCTTCAGGGTGCTTTGGTATATTGCCAAACAAACGTAGAGCATGACCAAAACGTGGGCCGCGTCACACTCCCCTACCTCCCTCTTTTACAGACACGGATTCGTCCGTTCCACGCAGGATATGTATTGTTGTAGTAGTTGTCACATCGAAAGCCCGGGTTCAATTCTAAAAATGGGGACGATGTACCATGCTGATGTACCCCGTCGTGATAAAGCTGGTACAAGTGGGGTACGATCAATCAGTCACTAACAGACACACAGCAACGGTAGTGTACGCTGTCTGTAACATTGCACGTGTCGTTTCCACCTTGCATGTATACACCTACAAAACTACAGCTGTTGTTAACTATACAACTCACCACCTACTTCACTGTGTACAGCTTGTTGGTCAGGTTGTGAGTTGATGTGTTGGCTCGTCAAGACCCGGGTTCGATTGGAGGTGACTCCTGCATGGTGGGGCTGAATTATTGCTGTTATTGCTACAAGTTAGCGTACCTAAATGATAGACTGCGTAACTTCATAATTATTTATTCATTGCGACGTATTTCGCAGTGTTGAACCAAACTCACTCTCTCACAAGAGATAAGGTTGAGTCAGTAACTGTCAGTGACGTTCCTGTAACTTTATGTCCATCCCATCTTGCTATTCATGTCAATCCCATCTTTGTATTCGTGTCCATCCCATCCTTCTATTCACGTCCATCCGATCTTTCTATTCACGTCCATCCCATCTTGCTATTCACGTCCACCCCATCTTGCTATTCACGTCCATCCCATCTTGCTATTCACGTCCACCCCATCTTGCTATTCATGTCCATCCCATCTTTTTATTCCTGTCCACCCCATCTTTCTATTCATGTCCATCCCATTTGTCTATTCATGTCCACCTCTTCTTTCTAATCATGTCCACCCAATCTTTCTATTCATGTCCACCCCATATTTCTAGTCATGTCCATCCCATTTGTCTTTTCATGTCCACCTCTTCTCTTTCTAATCATGTCTACCCCATCTTGCTATTTAGGTCCATCCCATCTTTCTATTCATGTCCACCCCATCTTTCTATTCATGTCCACCTCTTCTTTCTTATCATGTCCACCTCATCTTGCTATTCACGTTCACCCCATCTTGCTATTCATGTCCATCCCATCTTTCTATTCCTGTCCACCCCATCTTTCTATTCATGTCCATCCCATTTGTCTATTCATGTCCACCTCTTCTTTCTAATCATGTCCACCCAATCTTTCTATTCATGTCCACCCCATCTTTCTAGTCATGTCCATCCCATTTGTCTATTCATGTCCACCTCTTCTCTTTCTAATCATGTCCACCTCATCTTTCTATTCATGTCCACCTCATCTTTCTATTCATGTCCACCTCATCTTTCTATTCATGTCCACCTCATCTTTCTATTCATGTCCACCTCATCTTTCTATTCATGTCCATCCCATCTTTCTATTCATGTCCACCCCATCTTTCTATTCATATCCATCCCATCTTTCTATTCATGTCCACCCCATCTTTCTATTCATGTCCACCCCATCTTTCTATTCATGTCCATCCCATCTTTCTATTCATACCCATCTTGCTATTCATGTCCACCTCATCTTTCTATTCATGTCCACCTCATCTTTCTATTCATGTCCACCTCATCTTTCTATTCATGTCCACCTCATCTTTCTATTCATGTCCATCCCATCTTTCTATTCATGTCCACCCCATCTTTCTATTCATATCCATCCTATCTTTCTATTCATGTCCACCTCATCTTTCTATTCATGTCCACCCCATCTTTCTATTCATGTCCATCCCATCTTTCTATTCATACCCATCTTGCTATTCATATCCATCCCATCTTGCTATTCATATACACCCCATCTTGCTATTCATATCCATCCCCATCTTTCTATTCACGTCCATCCCATCTTTCTATTCATCTCTTACTCTGCGGGTTTCACCCGTATCTGTCTTGTTTCTGTATTAAAATGACAACCAGAACAACAGGCGCCACTGAGCATGGCGCGACTGCTAGGATAACAGGACTACATGCCACCACAGATACCGTAGGGAGGTCGGAGTACAATACTTCTCCAGGCCAGTGAATAGCGACTAAAATGGGAATCGATTAACAAAGTAGCTAACGTGGAAAGTACCTTAACTGGTTCCCCGGGGAGGACCAAATCAAAGCTCAAGCATGGCTGCGTCAGTATGTCCTGCGCTGGTTGGTTTAAGTACGTCGAAGTCAACACCCGGTGTCACAATCTTTATGATGGCCTCTCACACCATTAACATAACGTTTCTGTTCGATTTCGTTACATTACAGATTTTGAACAGTTCCTGTAATACAATGTTTACAGAAGAATTGACGTATTTAACAGACGTGTTCTGTTGGACACTATATAGGATATTTAGCGGGTCGAACGTGAAACCTTATTAACATAAATGAAACATGATTATTTGGCATGACTCGTTGATGCGACGGCTCTTGTCTCATCCCACCCAACAGTGTCTCCGATTGTAACATGTATTTGTTTGGTTGTGTTTGAGCACACGTCAAATTGTTTCAGGGTTTGTAAAAAACGGATACGAAATAGATCTAACAGACCACATAAACACAGACAAATTCCTCTTGTAAATAACTGTTCATCGCCAGGTATTGATCAGTATCAATACCCTGTTCTCAGATAAAGGCGTACCAGAAAGTTACTATTATCATACCAAATACTACTATTTCCGCCTGGGGCGTTCGCTTCTCCGAAGTGATAAAACATGTGACGTTATGTGTTTTGTATCACAATAGCACCAGCAAATAAACTGTTGTGAAAAACAATACTGTCTGCCATCGTTCAATATTGCGAGTGAGTTACTGAGTAAGGGTTTACGTCCCTGTTAGCAATGCTCCTGCGATATCACGGTGGGGACACCACATCATGGAGAACTGAACCCCGGGCCGTGAGGAACGAACGCTTTAACAACAAGACTAAGCGATCGATCCGTTTATAATAAGAGTTATGCAGAGTCATCTCCCTTTTTCGCAGGATCCGATGTTACTTTTTTTGTTTGGGTTCGAATCTCAATTTCACATCGATTGTAATCCTTGGCTTGAATCCGCGCTTATGAGTTCATACCAAATGTATGTACGACCTGCGTCACTGCTCTCACAAACTGAAGTGTCGCCGGCGTGTGATTTAATTAACACTATTGTGGACTTACACCAAATGCCACTCACACTAGCACCCATACTTCTACACTCACACACACACACACACACACACACACACGTAT